GTAGGCGCCAAGGTCAGTGGCCTTCTCCGAGCCACCCTCCATCAGCACGTCTATTTTTACCCCGTTGGGCTCTCCAAGATTCCTTCTGTCGATACTCATGTAATCGGTCATCTACACTCCTGCCTGACTTTTAAAAGCCGTATATCAAAAACTAGGCGAAAGTACAGATTGGAGACAGGTGGACTCATGCTGCACACGGGTCCGTTTCCTTATGCATATTTGGCCTCAGAGTATGTAGGACAAGAAAAAACAGCTACTGTATGTCCTCAATGGAGCGTGGCAGCGTGTCGTTATGCCCGAGAGGTTTTCAGCTCCTGTTTGTGGGCCAATGTGGCAAAGGTAGTGTTGACCATTGCTGTAAACACGTCAGCTGATAAAGTAACGTCACAGTGGGGCCTTTGTTTTGATTGGCTGACAGGATCAGGTGGGGAGATGCTGCCAGGTCCTGTTAGGTTTATAGAATAGTATAGAATAGAAAAACATAGAATAGAACACGATAGAATAGAAAATTCTATTCTGTTGTGTTTTGTTCTATAAGAAGTGCTAAGAGTTTGAGCTATATGTTGTGTTTTGTGTCCTGGCCCATTTTAGATTTAGCAGGCTGTCAGTTCGTGGTAGCTGTGCAGTGGATCCTGTCAAATCACGACAAAATGTTTGTTTTTGGTTTACTGAAGAAAGGTGAGTTGTGTATTTTTAGCGTTAAGTGAGCAGTGACAAGTTTCCTCAGTAATATTATCAGTTGTAACAGTGGAGTTTTTATTGGTGTCATTCAAGTAATTTAGTATTCAGGCTCCTTAGTCTAGCCTCTTCTGAGATTTGACCCAACAACTTTCAGGTCACCATGACCCCCATACAGTTAGGTCCATATATATTTTGACACTGACACAAGTTTTACTATTTTACTTGTTTACTGAAATATATTCCAGTTGAGGTTTTACAATGGGCATGGAAATGAAGTGCAGACTCTCAGATTCCATTTTAGGGTTTCCACATTCAAACTGGATGAAGGGTTTAGGAGTTTCAGCTCATTAACATGTGTCACCTTCTTTTTAAAGGGGCCAAAAGTAATTGGACAATTCACTTAAAAGCTATTTCATGGACAGGTGTGGGTAATTTCTTCGTTCTTTCATTATCAATTAAACAAAAAAAAAGGCCTGGAGTTGATTTGAGGTGTTTTGTTTGCATTTGGAAGATTGAGGTGTGAACATACAACATGCGCTCACAGGAACTCCGTATGCAGGTGAAACAGGCCACTTTGCAAAAAAACATCTTAAAAAGCCAGCACAGTTCTGGAAGAGCATCCTTTGGACAGATGAAACCAAGATCAACCTGTATCAGAATGATACAGGTTGAAAAAAGTATGGAGAATGGCTGTAATAGCTTATGATCCAAAGAACACTGCATCATCTGTAAAACATGGTGGTGGCAGTGTGGTGGCTTGGGTGTGCATGGCTGCCAGTGGCTGCCAGTGGCACTGGGTCTTTAGTGTTTCTTCATGATGTGACACTGGATGGAAGCAGCTGAATGAATGCTGAGGTGTTCAGAGACATCATGTCTGCACAAATGCAGCCAAATTGATTGGGCAGTGTTTCATAATACAGATGGACAATGACCCAAAACACACAGCAAAAGCAACCCAGGACTTTATTAAAGCAAAGAAGTGGAATATTCTCGAATGGCCAAGTCAGTCACCTGATCTCAACCCCACTGAGCAGGCATTTCACTTGCTAAAGAGTAAACTAAAGACAGAAAGACCCTCAAACAAACAGCAACCGATAGCTGCTGCAGTGAAGGCCTGGCAGCACATTAAAAAGGAGGAAACCCAGCGTCTGGTCATGTCCATGAGTTCAAGACTTCAGGCAGTCATTGCCTGCAAAGGGGTTTCAACTAAGTATTAGAATTGAGCATTTTATTTGCAGTTATATTAATTTGTCCAATTACTAATGAGCCCCTGAAAGGAGGGGATTGTGTAGAAAAATTACTTTAGTTCCCCAAATTTTTATGCAATGTTTTTATTCTACCCACTGAATTAAAACTGAAAGTCTGCGCTTCAACTGCATCTGACTTGTTTCTTTTAAAATTTATTGTGGTAATGTACAGAACTTAAAAACTGAAAAACTTTGTCTCTGTCCAAATATTTATGGTCCTGACTGTACTTCCTGTTCTCCTGTGTTTCTCCTTGCTGTAATCTTGTGTATGTGCACTTCTGCTCGTGTGCCTGTGCTGGTTAGCACATTAGCGTACGGGTGTGTGGACGTTAATCGTTAATAATGGATGCCTCTGATGTGTGTGTCTGTCCCCCAGTCCTAATCTACAGTAATAGCACGTATGGTCGTAAGGCAACAACCGCTTCAGGCATGGGTAACGGTGTGCAGGAACACCAGCAGGCACTGACGCAGGGCGAAGTGCTACCCAGCCCACCTGCTAGCCAATCAGAGGTGAGTAAGTCACTGCCCACCTACCTCAGGTCTGCCCGCACGGACCTGGTATTCAGTAAGCTGAGTCACGCCACTGGATTTAGGGCAGACTCATTAAGGCAGAACATTCAAATTACAGTATGAAACATTTATGTGTGGCTGCTAGTTTGGGTAACTAGTATTCAGCGTTAAGACATGGATGGCATAGACCAGTATTTCCCAACCCAGTCCTCGGGGGAACCCCAGAGAATCCACATTTTTGCTCCCTCCCAGCCAATCAGGAACACTGAATATCTGGTACAGGTGCACTGGGAGCTAAGAGGAAGCAAAAACGTGGACTGTCCGGGGTTCCCCGAGGACTGGGTTGAGAAACGCTGGTATAGACAACATACTCACTAAGCTTTACTAGCTTATGTTCATGTCTGCCTTTGTCTCTTTTGAAATATGGGCTCCTACTTAAGCAAGACTTCAGAGAAAGAGAAGCACATGACAGTCTTGGCTTCCATCTAAACCGCTCTTCCTTTATCTATTCCACCTACCAGAAAACGAAACCCCTCCCCATATACGTGCTGGGTCAATTATCTGCCCCCCTACACACTTTTAACAGAAAAGAAGCCTCTTATCTCTCAGGTTTGGTTGTGGATGAGGCTGACCATTTAACTTGTTTGAGAAGGGTGTTAACCTGCCCTGTTGATGGTTGTGCGTTACGAACCTTTAAATGAAGTTCATCCAGAGTCAGTTCTCGAGTCTCCTGAGCTGGAAATCAGCACCACATAGTGCTTGTTTACTTCTTGTAACTGATAAAATTAGACTTGGCCATTTTTATTTCCTGGTGTGTGTGAGTGTGTGTGTGTGTGTGTGTGTGTATATATATATATATATATGTATATATACACACACACACACACACACACACACAGTATATCTCCCTATATTTAAACTTTTTCATCTAACCCTATAAGCTAGAAGAGTGTGAGTTCGCCTTTAGAATAACAATTGGATAATTTAGGATTGCAAAATTTTGGGAATTTTCCCGCTAATTCCCATATAATCCTGTTAATTCTCCTGGAAAGTTTCCAACTTGGAATATTTTAAAAATTCTCCATTTTCCGGGTAGTTCCCGGAAAATTTCCACCCCTTTGCAATGGATTACATAACTAGCTTTCAAAAGCTTGCATGCATTTTTTAGAAAAAAAATCTTGATTTATAATTGAAAAATTATTCTGGGTCACTGATTTACCAGGCCACAGAGAATCAGTTAATTGAGAAGCTGTATGTGAAATGATGCAATTATAAAAATATAAAGGCATATAATAATCTTCAAAATGTATCTGAATTCCAGAACCCTGTCATAAACAAAGTGCCAAGAAAGGTAAATGTTGCCCACTAAGCAGTAGGACAATCTGTTACATCCTCCTTGGCTCCGTTTTCATAAATCAGGCACCTCCCCCCAGTTCCTAACCAAACTGTCTGGAAGCCAGGTTTCATGTCATGCAGTATTTGAGACATAGGCTAGGGAGCCTAATGGCTGAAAAACAATATGGCAGCTTCACAGAGATTATCATATGGGTTCCTGGATCATTCTGCTATCTGTGTTGGGTGGATTTTGCTCCTCTTATAAATTTGTATACATCTGTGTGATTGCACTGTGCGATCGGTGTGCTCTGTGCTCGGCCGCCGGGCCTGAATCTGTGCGATCGGAGTGCTCTGTGCTCGGCCACCGGGACTGATTCTGTCCATCCCTCAGGGCTACAGGCAGGGTCTCTCGGTGGTGAATTCCTTGGCCTCGGGAGCCTTAGCTGGTGCTGTTGCCAAAACTGCCGTCGCTCCTCTTGATCGAACCAAGATCATGTTCCAAGGTAAAGGTCCATTTAGTCGGCGAAACTCCCCCGAATACTTATCAGGTCTGAGTTTTTAAGTGATACACTGCACATAAAACCATTGTATTTACAAAGGTCTACTTTTATTTTTTAGTGTCTTCAAACCGCTTCTCTGCTAAGGTAAGTACACTGATACCATGTGTGTGCAGACGGTTGTGGTGCATTGTGGGTACGGCATTTACAGTGTAACGTGATGTTCCATCAGGAGGCCTACAAGTTCATCTACAGGACCTACCAGACACAAGGCTTCTTCAGCCTCTGGAGGGGGAACTCTGCCACCATGGTTCGCGTGGTGCCCTATGCCGCCATCCAGTTCTGCGCTCACGAGCAGTACAAGGGCATCCTGGGCAGCTACTACGGCTTCCAGGGAAAGTAAGGCCATCCCCCTGTTCTCTCTGCAGCGCACGCTGCCTCAATCCACTTAAAGGCATGGTCTTATCTTGAGCAGCACAGTAGCTCAGTAGGGATGGCGCCCCCTATCTTCCACTCCCGGTTCTCCAGCCTTTCGTTCCTCAGTTACTCCATCGATGACCTCATCTGTTGATCTGTTGCTCCTTGTCAGGTCTCTGACTCCTATTCCTCGCCTGGTGGCGGGATCCTTGGCTGGCATGACTGCGTCCATGATAACCTACCCTCTGGACTTGGTGCGTGCCAGGATGGCCGTCACCCCCAAGGAAATGTACGTGCCTCTTGGCGAAATCGACGTTTAAGCCTTTCACGTTACTGACCGTATCAGAGACAGGACCCTGTAATTAAATGCTCAAGAATAGCTGCCTGGATAAAACCTTTAGGTAACAGAAATAGAAGGTAATGGAACACGCAATGTCCCCTTCCGCAGGTATGGCAACATCAGTGACGTTTTCGTACGGATCTGGCGGGAGGAGGGTCCCAAGACACTGTACCGCGGATTTACGCCCACCATTCTGGGCGTGGTGCCCTACGCCGGCCTCAGCTTTTTCACCTACGAGACGCTGAAGAAGCTGCATGCAGGTACGACGGCGGTGACGTCATTTCCTGTTTACGTGTGTCACGTTGTCCTCGCTCCCTTCACTCACGCCCCTGGCTCTGTCTGTCTCTCTGGTCCATCCGTCTGTCCCTCTCCGTCCCCTGTGAACCCCAGAAAAGAGCGGCAGGACCAAACCGCACACATACGAGCGGCTGGCATTCGGGGCGTGCGCCGGCCTCATCGCCCAGTCAGCATCGTACCCCCTGGATGTGGTGCGTCGCCGCATGCAGACGGCGGGGGTGACTGGACACTCCTACAGCACCATTTTGGGCACCATGCACCAGATCGTGACTGAGGAAGGACTGGTGCGCGGCCTTTACAAAGGCCTCAGCATGAACTGGGTCAAAGGGCCGCTCGCTGTCGGCATCAGCTTCACCACCTTTGACCTCACGCAGATCCTGCTGCGCAAGCTGCAGCGGCGCGGTTACTTTCGGTAGCCAGCACGGGTGTTTAAGTTATTTCGGGTGTCTAAGCCCCCTATAGGGTTAGGGTATATTACAACGTTGGAAAAAAAAAAAAACTTGAGACGATGTTTTTATTTTCCATTTGCACAAGTACAGGCACATCTTCTGTCCTTTGAGACATACGGATACTTATAGAGCAAAGCTTGCAGGGTCAGGCCATTTATCCAGCACCCCAGGAACATTTTGGGGGGGGGGAGTTAAGGGCCTTGCTCAAGGGCCCAATGGAGATGTGACTACTCTGCAGAGGACAGCAATTGAACTGGCGACCTTCCGATCACGGGCACAGGAGCCTAACCCACTGAAAAGCCACCCCCCCCCCCCCTTTAACGGGCCAGAAGGAGCGAGAAGGGATAGGAAGCTCGTGATTGGCTGCTGAACCTCTATTTTAATGTTTGCACTTTCTCGCACACGCGTAAGCACATGCGGGGTATTGTATACAAGCGCCCTGTTCATATGCGGAGTATTGTCCTTGGTGTACTTGCTGTGTGTGTGTGAGAGAGTGTTTTCTCTATTGATGTGCATTAAAAGCATCGGTGAGGTGAAACAGCGATGTGGCTGAAGAGGGACAGTGAGGGTTACCTACATAAGGGAAAAGGTCTTCAGATTTGCGTCGTTACATAGTTGAGCTGTTACATAACTGAGCTGCATATATTGGCACTAAACTTATTCTAATCAATGCGTGATTAAAAACTCTAAAACCCAGATATATATATATACTCCCGTTGATTAGAGTATATGGAGTACTTCTGTGAAATATTCTTCAAATACTGAGTATTAGTCATTTTTATGTTTTCAAAAGCGCCATTATCATCCTTACACAGTGAATGTTTAGCGCTGCAGTATTGTAATGGTTTGGTAGAGACCTCACACCGTGTGTGCAGTACTGCCAACCGGCAAAGAGAGTGGGGGTGACATACTGGGATCCATCTCCATGGACGGCCCCCCAGTGCTCTTTCCAGCTGTTCTACCCCTGGCTTAACCTCTATATTACAGTATCATGCTTTAATGGCTCCTGGCCAGCTGTCGCCTTGCAGCCACTTCTGATTCTCAAGTGCCTAAGCGAGCAGTGGTGCAGTGGAGCAGTGGTGCAGTGGACGTCCCCATTGCAGTCCAATGTCCAGCTCCTGTTCTCTGCTGATGTCCACGCTCTCGTTCAACTCTGTATTTTCTGTGTACTTCAAGTATTATAGGACATAATTTTCTGTTGTTCACATTTTGCATGTCAGACTGTGTTTCCCCTGCCTTCAGACGAGGAACGCTAAGAGTTGCATTGTTTGACATAAAGCCAATTGCGGTCGCGGGCTTTATGTGTGTCTGTACGGAAAGCACAAACCCAGCTCGTCCCCAAATGTCTGTGTTGCCCTTTTAGAATTCAGGCTGAAAGACAATCTGTATATGCCAAAGCTCAAGTCTTCTGAATGCATAAACACACAAGTATTGGTTTATTTTTGTTTAACTTTTATAATTTACAATGGTTTACCCAAAGTACAACTGATGGTTCTTCAGACTGGGATTTATATATGAAACGATGTTTCTGATTTTCTGTGTGGTATACAAGACCATTGTGTATACTTGGTATTAGAATATTTTACTGAAAATGATATGGTGGGTGCATGTTTTGGAAAAGTCTCCCAAATACACTTAAGGACTGGAACCAGAATGCAAATAATTGTGGCCTTCTTACCAGTGGATTGAGCTGTTACATTCAGTAATGGCTCAAGGACTGTCTGCAAGTAGATTTAGGTAGATTTAACTGGTACTGTTGATATGTCCAGTGTGCAATACTTGAAGAGTATTACGCAATTGAAATGCAATGTGTGTGTCATTAATGAACAAAAAGCATTTGGCTTTCATTTCCTAATATGATTCATTTTGACTTCTAATTGTTGCGATATGCAGATTTTTGATGTTTCTGTAAATTTTAATTATTTGTGCCAAGAGAATGTATATTAAAATGATTTATATATTATGTAAAGCTCATAATATGGTCATATGCTGATTAAGTAAAGACCTATGTTGAGATCCCTAATATTTTTAGACTACATTGGTTTATTTGTATTGATGTTTTGTGCTGGTGCCAATTAACCAGGAGAAAAGCCCGTAATTTATATTAAAGATTTTTATTTATAACTTATAAAAACGTGAGTTGTCTAAGGCCATAAGATGTACTGAGCATGTGTGGCCACAAGATGGCAGTGCTGCACAGCAGTGGCAGGGGCGCGAGGTATTCTGATGCACTTGACCTTGATGACTTGCCCCAGTGCCCGGGATAAGATTTCCACGCTGGTAGGTGGATTCTCGCACTAACTTGCAAGCTAACCAAACGTGTATGGCTTTATATGCACTTAATTCAATTATATGCAAATGAACTATGCAATTATATTCCATGGACTGCTGTTTCTCTGAAATAGTCAAACTGAGCAGTTGGTAAATATTCTGAATGACAATTATACATTAGCATATGATTTCAGGATTTGTATGGACATACCAGAGAATCATACACAGGTGTGCTCACTAAAACTTATAGGGAAAATGCAGCAGAAATGTGTATATAACACTTTTGTAGAAATGATTTTATGGTAAGTTATGGAATCTTAAACCATCGATTAGTCAGTATAGGGGCAGGAATGGAGTGTGTAAGTTTAGTCAGGAAAGGGTTATGGTCGAAATGTGACGATGTACAGCAGGATGATCGTGGTAATTGTGTGTAGATTTAATCAGAAGAGTAATTGTCGCCGTACAGATTATTTACTAGGTTGTTAGGGTTGTGTTTTGTACTGTAATCATGAATGCTGGTTTTGAATTTGGTAGCAATTCTCTGTAAAGCTACTATCAGCAGTAATTTTACCCTTGACTGTAATGGAGATGTTTGTCTCTTGTCCTCACCAACCGTAAATCTAGGATTGGCCTAAAAAAAAATAGCAGGGAGGGGGAAATAGCCCTGATGAAGGACAAGGTGGGGGGGGGGCCCAGGGGGAAGCTTGGGGGAGATGCTGTTGCCATGGGGACCTTGAACCATGCCGGCGGAGGGGAACACCTCATTTACATATATTCAAATAACTCATTAATAATTTACAGCCTGATGGCCAATAGACGCTTCAAAATAACACCTTTGATCTGCTCATTCCTAACCTCGCTGATCGCTTGAGAAGCTGATGGAGGCTGGTGGCCAGACGTATAAGAGGTGGGCAGGAGGAAGGAGTCCTGATTTGAATCCGTCTAGACAGACCGTCTGTTTTGTGCATCAAGTCCAGTGTTTCCCAATCCGGTCCTCGGGGACTTGCAGACGATCCACGTTTTTGCTCCCTGCCACAGTCCACATTTTTGCTGCCTCCCAAAACCATGAACAGTCTGTGGGTCCCTGAGGACCGGATTGGGAAACACTTGTCTAGTCTGTTCCACAGTTAAAATATTCTGGGATTGTGTACTAAGTTCCCCTGCCCCCACGGTGCCCCTCCCTCTCTATTCCAAGGCAGCAGAACAGACACAGAGCTGCGGTTTCTACTCTCACCGTCATCGGTACAATGACTACTCAGGCCTTATAAGTCTTGCCAGCCAACACCCCGGGGGGAAACGCAGCGACGGGACACGCCTGAGGTGTTCGTCTAGTTGTAGCCTTCCACCCACGTCTGACAGAAAGCAGGGTCGGGAGAATGCATGAACACCTTCAGTGAGAGGCGGGTCTGTGCCACCACAGACACGTCCGGGGTAAAATGCGATCGCAGGGTCTCTTTGTCGCTCACAAGCATCACACGTGAATCCTCTCTGCGTTCCTTAATTCTCCTTACGTGTTTTTGTGCTTGAACCATAAAATCAGACTTTAAGTACTACTGATGATGCATCCCAAAATTTTTCAACCTATACCAAGCCTCTCCAAGTCTAGTATTCTCCATCCACCAACAAGCTTAACAGTGAACCTGTTGTACGTGCTCGCACAAAGAATAGTAACATCTTTGCACAAAGGATAGTAACATCTTATCCTGTGTTTTGGAATCTAATGTGGAATTATATCAAACTAATCTCTTAGCAGAGACTTAGTAAGTAAACTTTATTTATAAAGCACTTTAAAAACAACCTTTGTTGGCCTAAGTGCTGTACAAAGTTCATCAAATAAAATAAAATACTGTACAGAAGCACATCACATAAAACAAACAACCCACTCAAAATATTCTCAGGTTTCTTTAAACGCTAATGAATAAACATGAGCTTTCAGTTTAATTTTAAAATCAGAAACTGTGGAAGCACACAATATGGATGGGCAGATGTTTCCAAAGCCTAGGTCAGGACCCTCCAGCTCCAGTCCTGGAGGACCAGAATCCTACACAGTTGGCAGATTTCCCCACTCAGACACACCTCCTAAACCTGGAAATTAGCTGATTAAGGCGTGCTTGAGCAGGGAAATCTGCAGACTGTGTTGGATTCTGGCCCTCCAGGACTGGAACTGAGGAGGCCTGGTGTAGGTTCTGTGATGTCAAAGCCCCATCTCCCTTTGTCTTTAATATTGTCCTCGGAACTGCCAGAAGAGACTGACTTCATGGATCCTGAGGTGGTGTTTGTGCAAAGAGGATCAGCTGTATGAGTAACGACGTCCCACGTAAAGGCAAAATATAGGCTTCTAGACCAGCCAGGGGTGTGGTGCGTCTGATGTCTGCACGGAAGATTTCAGATTCTACTCAGTCGATACTCAAAGCGCAATGTGTGTGCGAACACCCTGGTGTAATAAGACGGTAAATACTAACCGCTTGTTACTACACTGATAGTATTGTTACTCTAAGAGAGTGTCCTCACACTGAGACTTCACAACAGCACCGGACTGTTCCTGATATATGGGACCCTGTCTCATTTGGACACAAGGGTCGGACTGTATTATGGTTCATATATGGTTCATGTGTTCATTTTATGTGGCTCAAATTAAGCACTGGAATGAAAGCTGGTGCATGTATAGTACATACAGACTGTGTGTAACATGAGCACATTGTCTAGTTGTATTCTCAGTCCTTGTTGTAGTATTCGAACCAGACATCCTATGGACAGGGTACAATTCAAAGTACATGCACTGTAGCATTTCTATGACAGGCAGACACATGCATATATTTTATGCATCTTGAACACTGAGAATTGCCCTAGATTTTAAGTATTTACAAACTGCTCGGAGTAGACTCTGTTTGAAGTGGAAACACGATAACACTTTTCTTGAGGGGGCACAAGTAACTTACTTACTCAGTAACTACTCAAGTACTAATCATGAACAAATTAAGTAACTGCATTAAATACATCAACCGTTATGACTGACTAATGATGAACGAACACGGGATCAGTTTGTAGCTACCACTTACTTTCTGGTTAATTAATACGTTAAGTAAGAGTGTACTACTACATTATCTGTGTCTCCTGAAAAACTAGGTCTACAACAGATCTTATATTAATGCATTATATATTTTAATGCTATTACCGATTAGCTGTATGTGCCGCGATAGCTCAGAAAACTGCATCGATCTAGCAGACTTACTGCTGTTTGTATTAAATAGCGGGACATTTAAAGCCACATTCCCTTTTCCACAACAGAACGACGCCTAAACATCCACGCTCAAGCGAGATTCTTTTTTTATTATGTTTTTTTTTTTATTGCCTGGCTTGGAGAATTGCTCTATACTGGTAAATCTGGCCATACCTTATGGCTGATGATAACATGTATAATATATTATTTAGTTGCTTGCCAGACATTTTTATTCAGAGTGGCTTACGCAGCTAAAATGTAGACCTTATCCATTTATTCTGGTGGGTATTTTTTTACCCTTAGAAAAACATGTTAAATACAAAAGCAAGTCTCCGCTATAGGAACTGAACTGGAAAGTTCTTGGGCACCAGACAAGTTCCTTAAGCACTGCAGCCCCTTGCCTTTAAATTAAGTGAGCTCGTGAGGTCTAATATATTAGGCGACACAGTAAAATTATCCTGGTAGAATGTAGCGTGGGTTCTGGTGTTAACTGGATTAGTGCTGTATGCTCTGGCTTACATTCATCCACTGCTCCAACTTCAAGGCCATTTAAAAATAGTCACCCGCGGACCCCCCTCCCCTCTTCTTTTTACACCCCCAGGTTACTCACCATAGGATTCATTCTTCACCCTCCGACTGTCGCAGCCCATGCTACGCAAGGACAAGGCTCCTCACCAAACTCCATCTTTCATGACACGCTAAGACAGCTGCATTGACAGTCTGCTCATATATAGATATATATGTATTTTTTCTCGGCGGCCGGTGGCCGTGGTCTTAGCATGACAAAAGCCGGGGTCCTGTGAACCTTCTGCTCCTTGTGTTTACAATGGCAGCGCGCTCAATAGCGGCGGCATGCTTAGCATGACAAACTACAGCAGCTCCCTCGCCCATTCTTCCACATCCCCGTCCCCAATTTAAATCTTCATCCCTCCCTCCCTCATTTCTCTTAGTGCGGAGCGCTGGAGGGCACCACCGATTCTAATAATACTGACCACAAGGTGTTAGTTTCCCAGAAATCACCCGTAAGGTGAATGAAAAAATACCTGCTAAATAAGCCTTCAAATTGCCGCCTGGATTAGCTTGCTGGGCTCTGTTTAGAGATGTATTTTTTAATTAGAAAATCGTCCAGGGAAATTATTTTTGGAGAGCATTGAATTAGGGCAGAGAAACCGGCGATCACACACTTTACCGCATAAAGATACAATTACGGCACTGATACTTGTACGTTTTTCGTTAGAATTTAGTTTCTCGGTCAGATACTTAAACTACAAAACGTGAGAACAATGTCTTTTTTTTCCCAGAGTATTTAGCCCCATGAAAGACACGGTAGCTGGCGAATCTGTTTTGCCAGGTGGTAATTATTAAAAGAATAGCCTATTAGAATATTAAATTTAAAATATGATAAATATTGCTTTGCAATGTAGTAGGCTTTTAATGAGATATTAGAAGGTAAAGTTTGTTTGACTAGAATTTAAACGGGAGTAATTATGATTAAATTTTTGAAATACACTATATTTATAATAGTTGATCAAAAATAACGTGTTCTTGTTTCATTTTGTAGATATTTAATTTTGGGGACCGGAGTAGCGGCAATAAGCTAAAAATCTTAATGTTTAATTTATAATATGAATTATAAGTAGGCATATATTAACGAAATACAACGCCGAGTGATCATTTAACTTTGATTCCCCGGCATGATTCATCTAAATATCGTACGGGTCGCTCAATATATACTATTAGGAAGATCATTTGCGCCCCTTTATGCCAACACCTAAATATTTTTTTTAATTACAAACAAAATTTAAAAAAGGATTTTATGAGCGTTGTTCTTTATTTCTTCGCTTCAGCGCAATGAAATCGCTGAACCTTTACTGAAGCTGGCGTCATTAAATACATATTGCGATGAGGGATTCTGGTGTTAATTACGTTTTAGATGCATTAAGCGCGACGTGGCGGTTCCGCAGCTCCCCTCCTCTAATGCGCGTGTAAACTGCGCGTCCGCTTATTCTAAGGGGCCTAAATGTTTACAATCCTCGCGCGCTTGGCACGCTTCCATTCACTTTACCCCCGCTGACCAGAGACACCGAGGTTGCCCCCGGAGTGTCAGCCCGGCCTCAGTGGGCTATCATCAACTGACCTTTGAGCAGTTTGGCGCTTTTACGAGATTCTGCAGCAGGGCCAATTGACTGGTTCTCCCGTGATGTCCCTCTCCTAAATGTGCGTACAACCATAAGCATTTCTTCATTTGGAAATCTTAGCTCTTCACTGGAGCAGCAAGCAGATAAATTACCCTTTTGTTTTTCAACAGCTATACCCATTTCCTATGATCTTACCTTATCTGATAAAGCAATTACCTGGGTATTTTAACAGTATTCATGTTAATGTATACAACCAATTGAATGTAACCGTGTTCCTTCAGCAATTATTTTACTTTGTACACAAATTAAACATTTCAAAGACTCAAACTCATTTTGATCTATATTACAACTGTTTCTCAAATGGTCTGACAACATCTGAATGTCACCCAAATTGTTTATATTTTGAGAACGCTGCTTTCTCCATGTTTGTCATGTTTGTCACTGACAGGTGATAAAAAAACAGGGTTTTCTAATCACTTAATGTCCATAATTATGTCAGCATTACAACAGGAGAACATACAGTTGGCCTGGAAATATATTCAGGCACTCTTTTGCCTTGTAGAGGTCATATTATTACATATTATGTACTGTTTTAGTGGGCATTTTATATTTCAAATGATTCATTACTCTGTCATTGATCTCTTTTGACCTGGATTTAAATGTATTCTCCTCCTCTCCTTGAATGGTGCTTTGTTCTTTGGCCGAGGTGATACGTGTCAATTTGCGATCATATTTCGATCCTGATTTAGAGATTAGACCAAGCGGAGGATTGTGCAAGGCTGGTACCCCAGCCATGGGGGTGCATTTGGAGAAGTTTGGGGGAATTTACCATGGTCACTGAGCATGGATACCAAGTCATCTCATGCCTCGCTGGACCCTCTGTGGGTGGCCCAGGGCCAAACCCGCTTTGCTTACTATCTGGGCAGGAGACAATAATCCCCCCCCCCTCTGTTCACAACCTCCCCAGCCTTGGGCCAGGTCAAGGCAGAGTGGGTCTGACTCGCAAGTCAGAGCCCCATAGAGAGTGGAACCTCACGTGCACGAGGGGCAATGACAGGACACTAACCCATGCGCCACACAGCTACCAGCCACTCACAGCATTAGCATTAGCGTCGATCAGTTCATCTGTAGATGGATCTACTCAGAATGGCTGTTTCAGTTCGACACAGCTTTAACACACTACAGGATACGCTACTCATTTGGGCAACCTTGCAACCCTTTTAAAACATCTACTAATTATCATCAGCACGGAACAAAGATTGGGACACAAGCAATTTTCGATCAATATTTATTGAAAATAAATATACATGAAGAAAGCAATTGTAAACACATGAAACCTTTCAGGGAAGTACATGAAAATATTTGTGAAATACTCACCTTTGCCGATGTCAGTCAGAACTAATAAGTTTTAACTTAACCCTCAGGTTTGGCTAATATATGAAGTGTAAAGCAAATCTATTCTGAAAACAGATGAGCTTTACAGATGTTTAATCTGCCAAACAGGGTCCTTTAGGGACCTAAAAAGGCTGTCTATGAATTTGCCTGTATTGAAGTAAAGCAACCTTTCATCAATGCAAAGTACAGCTGACGACATTCAGAATCTGTTAATCTTCCTGGTCATTTATTACCACAGTCTGTTTAGTCTGGGGACTGTTTAAATCTGCGTTGAATTATTCTTACCATTCATTCTAAGATTTTCATAGGCAATGAGTTGTATTGTCTTTTACATTAGCAAAGCATAGCAACTTATCAGTGCCATAATAAGCATATAAATGTGAACATCATTATAATACAATATCATACAATATGATACAGATGATTCATTATTGCAATTAGCTTGTTTTTTTTTCTCTCAAGCACTGTACAATTTCATTGTTCTATATTACATGTTTTTAAAGGCAGGTATTGTATTATAAGAAGATATTTATGTTTGAAGTTACGTTTGAAGCTTTTCCTTAAATGCTTAGCATGAGGCTATAAACATATCTTTTACTTTTAAAGTGATTTAAAAGACAGATGACATACATATAATCTTACCTTCATTTCTCACAGCATACTTACCTGTCCTGGAAAATGCACGGACTTTCGCACACGAATCTCAAGCATCGAATTAGCCTGATTTTACAGGCTTTTTTTGGAGTTTCCGCGGGAGCCGACTCAGATCTTTACCAGGGAGATTCTAAAAATATGAGCAGGACAGCCGTAATGGGCCGGTCCTGCCACCCACGGCAGCGCTGCCGCTCGTCCCGCTCTTCCTGGCCCTGTTCTGGGTTCCCCTGCTGGACCCCAGGGGCCATGTGTCCAGAGACAGCTCTGCAGTTGGATATTTTCACCCTAGTTTCTGCTTTCGGGCCTCCTGCAGACACAGAAGAGAGGAAGGAAGCGGTCAGAACACCCCACAGTACCACTGGCCCACTCTGGGTGTCACACTGGAGCCTGGGGTGTCCTTTGCTTATCTGGCTGCCTTATATGTGCATGTGAGACGGGCCAGCAGGACGCACGGGGGTGAGAAACCAGAACATGGCCGTTTACAGCCTCAATTAATCTACATAAATCTTCTTGTATATAAACATCAGTTAAGGCGATTGGCTAATTAATGTAAATGACGGAGGATTCGAACAAGATGCGGGTGCAGCGTGTGTACCATGGCGTCCATCTCATCCCCCCGCTGTGGGGGCATCTGTCTGGAGCTGGGGTTAGGGGACACGGGGTGGGGGGGGGGTGACTTGAAGCCTTTATCGCCCAGGACAATGACCCTGAGCCAGCAGACAGACGCAGGTCACTGCTCGTCTGAGTACGCTACACTATGCTCAGCTGGGGTGGGCGGGGGGGGGAGCTGTGTGCGTCAAACTAATATTACCTCTGGGATTCAGGCTGAGACACGCTAAGCGCCAGACCTCCCCGTGCAGACAGATGACGCTGGATTGTGCACGGTCACACCTCGGTCACATGGGCTGACCGACACTCAGGTCACTTTTTGTCACTGGTTGCAAGTGCGAGTATTCGGCGTGATTGTCAGTTCCCTAGTCGCGTGTGGAGTGTGACGTATGGGAAAACGACGGTGACCGTCACCCTGTCCGTAGCAAGACGTGTCCGTGTCCGTGTCCGTGTCCGTGTCCGTGTCTGTGTCTGCAACAAATTGTTTCGATTGAGAAAACAAAGAAAAAAATAAAACTATGTAGGCCTGTGATTCTCAACCCGGTCCTCAGAGACCCACAGCCGGTCCACGTTTTTGCTCCCTCCCAGCTCCCTGACAGACAGTCCACAATTTTTCGGCTGCTGAGAGGGAGCAAAAACATAAACTTTCTGCGGGTCCCCGAGGACTGGTTGGAGAAACACCTATGTAGGCTATGTTTATAAATACCGCGTTCCTTGTGTTGACTCCTGAAAGACAGTTCTACCCCTGTGCCTCCTGCCTATATAGAGTACAGGCCATTTTTATACAATGTGTTCAGCGCATCCTCTAAAGACAGTAAAGACTTCCTTCGACACCCTTACAAAATTAACAGAAGCGGCCATTTGGAATAGTGCTGACTGGATGTCAATAAGAACCAACGTCCGGAGCGGTCAGCATGATAGTGGGTATTGGAGGCTGATGATTTATGAAGCAGGTTGCTACGGCGGTGGTTGGGGGGAGGTTCCCCTGCAATCTGC